GCCGTAATTCTTGTTTGTAATTGGTCCAACCGCAGGCAAGTTTACTCCACTAAATTATGACATATTGACACTAATGACATTTGTGAAATTTTAAAATTCAAAATTTATATCGACGATTTTTTGTATTTTCTGCGTTATTCCTTACATTCATAGATTTTTCGTTTGCATTTATATAAAGAACAGTTCTTTTCAGAACTATTTAGTGTTATTAAGATAACAATATGGATTCAATGCCAAGTACTAGTGGTAATTATTCTTCTCCACCTTAAAAACGCCGAGTAGATTTGGGTCATTTATCAACAAATAAGAAACAATGTTTTATAAACATGTATAAAAAAATGAAAATTGATAATTCTGGATTGAAAATAACAGCCACGGTAGCAAAAGTAAAACAGGCAGCAGGTTAGTTTTGCAGAATAGTTATTATTAAAATCAAAACTTACTAAAGTAATGTGCTAATTTTAGGTGTTGCGAATTCAACTATTAACCAAACAATTAAAGAATATAAGCAGACTGGTGATATGCGAATATTATTTAATGTGATATTTTTCTAGATGATATTTATACTAAATATTGTTTAAAGTATTGTTAAGAAGCATTTTCATTTGTTTTCATCACAATAAAAGAACATTAGTAAAGTAATATTGTGTTTTAGTTTGATTGCATTGATGCAGTTGGTTTTGTTCTTCCTGGTTGTAGATAATCACAAGAAAACTGCAAAATTATGCTTGAATGTAACATAATAGATTGAATTTGTTAATTTTAGTCAATTTTATTTATTGATAACAAATGTTACAAACTCAAGAATCCAGCATTAAAAAATTGGAAGTACACACTTATTTATACAAAGTATCTTTTTGCATTATAGTGCTTCAAATAGAACCTAAAGATATTGATACATAAGTTAAACAAATCTATCTAATGAGGTAACTGATTACCAAAATACCACACCTATATTTGAACCATAATTTATTCTGTGATGGGAAATATGAAAAAGTGAATTTTAAAGCAGTGAACGGGAAGGAGTATGTAAAACAAATTGCCTGAAGCAATTCAGGAGATTGGATTATTAAGCTTAAAAATAATGATCAAAGTCAAAGTTAACTCTTCTGGTAAGAAAAAAAACCTATATTCAAGAAATTAATCACATCAGAATAAAAATATGGTCTACGCAGTTTAAAAGAACAGTATTTCAGAAATCTTTGAACTGTCTCTAACTTTTTGATACATGCATTTGCATAGCTTTGTTGCATACTTATTAGATCTATTTTCAAATTAAAAAACGTCCTTTTTTTATTGTAATAATTGTAATATCTATTGGAAGTGAATTAAAAAAAATTATAATTCAAACATAAATTAACAAAGTTAGGTTAGAATTGACGTGGAAGGTTGTCCGATATTGATTACTCGATTACCGCAAGGCCGAGATAATCAACAAAAAAGAAGATGTATTTGGTGACTTTTCTAGTAACTTTCTTGGGTGTGAATCTGTCTTTTTGGTTTACTCCTCCTGGTTAAAAAACAGAGTATAGTAACATAAGTCTTATAAAAAGAAATAAAAACGTATTCTACGCCAAAAAAGACATTCTCTCTGTTCAAAAATATAGTATACACTTACGCATTTGTTGATCTTTAAATTATGGTAATAAAATATGGCAATTAAAATTCAGTACAAAGAGTGCTGTAAAGCAAAAAAGCAGACGATTTACTCTTAATGAGAAATGTTCAACTTTGTCTTTATAAAAACAAAGTGATCGTTCATATAGTATTTTTCAAATCTATTTATCTTACCCAGTAAGTCATCATTAAACAAACTTTTGGCTCTAACTATTGGAGGCCCAGGTATTAATAAGTTATTATTTTAGTCAATAAAGGCAACAATAATAAAAATGAAAGTAATTGATAAGCAAATAGCTATAATATTTGATAAAATGACGATTATGCCAAGTCTTTGTTACAATGAGCATACTAGGTGTATAGATGGTTTTGAAGACATGGGAGATAGCAGAGATTTATATATAGCAGTTCATGTTCTAGTTTCTATGGTAAGAGGTCTAAGAAAACAGTGGAAATCATCTATTTCATACCAATTTTGTAGCAGAAGTGGTGCGAAATCCCTCAAATTAAAAACGTGTTGGTGGAAGTCATTTCTAATTTCTTAGAAGCCTCAGCCTGCTATACAATAAGATCTGTTTCGAAGAAAATGAATTTAGCTTCTTCCAAAATAGCATATTTTTCTTTGTTCGAGTCTCATCTTCGATATGGTCTTCTTTTTTGGGTTTCTAGAACAGCTGCTAAATAACTTACGTTTTGCAGACGATACAGTAATAATTACGGATAACAACAATGATTTACAGAACTTAATGCAACGCCTTAATGAACGCTGTCATGAGTACGGACTGAAGATAAATTTAAAGAAAACTAAATGCATGATCATGACTAAATCTGCACATGCAAATATCCAATTGACTATTGAAGATACTGCAATTGAGAATGTTAATAACTATAAATATTTAGGAACATGGATAACATCAGATGTAGACCAAACCAAAGAAATTAAGACACGTATTGAAATAGCACGTACATCATTTATTAAACTTAAAAAGTTTCTTTGTTGTCGGGATATAAGGTTAGAACTACGCCTGAGAATGCTTCGATGTTACGTGTTCTCTACTCTTCTTTATGGTCTGGAAGCTTGGACACTAAAACAAGTTCATCTGAATAAGCTGGCCGCCTTTGAATTTTGGTGTTACAGAAGAATCCTACGAATATCATGGATTCAAAGAATGTCAAACATGGAAGTAACTAGAAGGATAGGAAATGAGGCGGAAATAATATTAACTATTAAAAGACGAAAACTTGAGTACTTGGGACATGTGATGAGAGGGCAAAAATACGCATTATTACAACTTATTATGCAGGGCAAAATCCGAGGAAAGCGAAATGTGGGAAGACGAAGAATATCCTGGCTTAAGAACTTAAGGGAATGGTTTGAATGCAGTAGTGCAGAACTTTTTAGAGCGGCAGTCAACAGAGTCCGCATAGCCATGATGATTTCCAACCTTCGATAGAAGATGGAACTTAAAGAAGAAGAAGAACAGCTGCCCCAATTTGGTGTTGTTTTTAAATTTCAAAAAGGAGCAATACAGTACCTTTTTGGCCTCAGTAGAATAACATATTGAAAAAGCTGCTTCAAAAATTACGGGATTTTAAACTCTTCCCTGTTTATATATTTTAGAAAGTGTTTGGGTAATTCGTAAACACCTACATGTTTTTCCTGCAAGACCTAATCAAGAATACTTCACCAGAAATTCAACCTTTGATTTGTATTTACCGAACTCCAGTGAGTTAGTAAAGAAATCTATATTATATTCAGCAAAAAAATTGTACAACTATCTCTCTTTGCAACTTAAATCTTCAACTTCTTTCCTTACGTTTCGTAAAAGGACAAAAACCTATCTATCTGAAAGACCATGTTATTCAGTAGAAGAGTTTCTGAACGAATAGCTTTATGTACAAGTAACTAAATTATTTGTCTAGATATATATTTCAGTATCACATGCAGCAACTTACACTATGCAATTTGCATTTTATATAAATTTTAAAATTTATTGTGTATTTTATTATTTAAATTATAATTTGCCTGTAGGTGATTGAAAGGAGGACTGAACAATTATTGGGCTTGCTGATAGGATAAGCCAAAAAATCGAAACTTCTTCGAACAGCTACTTGTGTTTTGGTTGGACAGCAAGGTCATGGATAAGGATTCCTTATCTTTGGGGAGATCTTACCTTAAATTTCAATACACAAGCACTGTCCAACACCCAATGGAGGTTAAAAAACACCAAAATTGGACCTCAGGTTATCCTGTATGATAACTATATGATTGTTCAAAACTCGGCTGCTCATTTTTCACTCAAAACCATGTAGACCCACTTAACCCTCAGAAAAGCTGTTATCAAAATCCCTTGACACGGAATACAGCAACAACCCGGTGATTATCTCACTTTTCAAAGACTTTTGAACATGACATTTTGAGCTTAAATCACCTCTTTCTAACAAAAGCTCATGGAATTAAGCCAAACATTCCCGGTTTTTAAAACTTTGTCCGAGAACCATGTTTACCCGTTCAGGCCCTAAGTTGTTCTCTTGAGCGTATCGAATTCCCGATGATGAATTCAGACTTAAACAATGAATTCGACCACTTTGGTGGCCAGTCCATCGAGGAGTGGCTTCATCCTTATTCCTGTTAATTTTCTGCGTAGATATCTGGGTGGAATCAAGATCAATCGAAAGAGCAATTATAATTATTATAAACATAGTCGAAAATGCTTACATTACCATTCTCAGAGACGCAAAAAAATTAAGAATCTTCTTCGGTGTTTTTTGATATACTGGGTGAAACGAAAATTATACAATACAGATAAGAAGTCAGCGAACTAATTTTTATGGTACCGAAAACAGTTGTTTGAGAATGTTTGGTAAAATCAGAATCTGATATAAAAAATGGGGATTCGTATTAAAGATTTCAAAGTTGTTGCCGTCACCAATATCAGGGTGTAAGATGGGAGTCATATGTGTTGTCATTTGACAGATTTTAAAAAAATATTGAACACGTAGTTCTCAGTTTTCCATTTGGAAGTGTATTTCTCGAGATATTAAACCGTTTCCATAATTATCCTAGGGTATAAGTATAAATCGTTTTTTCGGATTTACTACCATATATCAGCAATTTGAAAAAATATCGGGATGGCCTAAGAGAAGAAGAAATATTGTCATATATATTATTATAGTAATATTTTTAATGTTCAGAAATTATTAAGTATTTTAATACTATTCAGTTCATTTTTTGTTTCTTCCAATTCGTCACAGACAACATCTATAGTATGATCACAACAATTTCTTAAACATAATAATATTTTTATTAATAATATATAGCTTTATAAACTTCTTTATATATAAAAATTTAAATATTTAATATGTTCTTTTTCTGCTTTCAGAGCCAGTATAGGAAGCTTAACGTAAGTGTGTATCATATTTTGTTTCGCACCTCCTAGATTCATATTTTTAGGTACATTCAGGACCAGATTAAAGAGGAAGAAGAAGAAAAAGAAAAAGAAGTATTGATAACAAAAAAGAAGTCTATTGGCCAATATGAAAGTGACAGTTTTAGATGTTTATTACCACAGGTATTTATTTGGTAGATTCTTTATATTTGTCTACGTTATATTATCAGAAAATGCGTTTTAAAAGACAAATAAATAAACTACTAATCAAAAAGGTCAACTTCCGTGATATTTATCGCTTTTATGTTATATATTTAGTCTTTTAGGGAATAAAATCACTAGCAATTAAAAAAGATTAAAACATTAATTTAAATGTTAATTAACTTCGTAAATAAATTTAATGATTTGATAACCAAAAGTCCTTATTTATTTTTCCAACAAGTAGAAAACCAATATTTCCAACTTCTTATGGGACAAATACAGACAAATTTGAAATGTTTGTAAATGTTTTTAAAATCCCCTTAATATAAAAAAGTTATTCTTTGTTATTTCACTTAAACTTTAAGATCTTTATTTATTACATTTTCACACATTTAAAATTAAACGTTAATTTTACATTTTACATTTTTACAATAAAACCATAAATTTTAATCTTTGACTACATATTTTTCTTTTATTTGCTTTAAGATCTACGCCTCGCTTGTTGCAGCAGCATACCAGATTCAAAATGGAGTAGTTATGTCATTTTCAGCCGTTTTAATTTCTCAAATTGAAGTACCTGATCCTGAAATAGTATCTACCACGGCCCAAAATACCCTCATGGGTAAGTATTTTGTTTTTATTATTTGTATTAATTATTTCATATTTAAAAATATTTTTTCAGCTAGTGCATTTACTATGATAGCGCCCTTGGGATCCACAACAAGCGGGTTCTTAATGGATCGATTTGGAAGACTTAATACAGTCAAACTTGGTCTGATACCCACCATTGCTGGTTGGATTTTAGTTGCTACGGCTAACAGCATGACACCTATTATTTGTGGTAGAGTTCTTCTAGGAATTGGTGCATGTAAGTATGCCATATAATGTATGACACTTTCAGCAATTTTCGTAATAAACAATGCCTTGACGTTTGTACTAATATTTTCATAACTGCTTTATATTACGATATGTTAAAAAATAGCAGCAAGCTTCATGGAATGATTCACCTAAACTTATCTTTAGAACTAAAGATAATAAAAGAAATTCGTGGAAATAAGAAAACCGAAGGATTTGGCAATGCTCTATCTGTGAAACTCAAAAGAGAAACTAGAAAAATACTGTAGACCTGCGACGTAAGAAAACCACACAAGGAATAGTCTAACCACAAGGACGTAAGATGACTATGCCCTTAAATCGCCGGTGCACAATGTTCAATGTGGCACGAGCTATGTGGTACTTAGAGCTGTCCCATTGAAATTCAACTTCAATCTAGGTAGATAACATTGCAGACAGATGACATTGTAAAACCAGTGGAGGTTATTGTACCAAATGATGAATATTTGAAACACGCTATTTAAAGAGACTTATAGGAAATGGCGCCAGGGATGACAATAAAAGCAGTAAGAGTGAACAAAGTGTAAACAAAGTCGAAAATGCCCGAAGTGATACAAAAAATTATGAATTAATGGAGGGAGAAAAATCTAAACTGCTGATAGCCATCCAGCATCAAAAGGTAGTTGAAAAAAAAAGCAGAAACGAAACAACGAAAGAAAGCGATAATAGAAGCCGAAAAACAAGCCCAAGTTCCCAAGATTTAATTTGAGCAAAAGATTATGGAAAAAGAATCGTTGCGTGTATATCGCAGATCAAAATCGAAATACATCTTAACAGATAGAAAAGCCAAACCAACGTGGAGTTTTACAAGCACAAGCAACAGACGGAAACGAATAAGATACTGCATACTAGGGAATACATATAATTGAAGAAATACGAAGCGTTTTCAAATAGACAGAAATGAAGTACCTGAAGCCTTTCTGGACTCGGAAATAACGGCCTTTGCTTATACAAAAATTCCTGTAAGAGAAGGTAAAACTTCAGCGGAAAGTGAAGATTTTAGGAACTGAACATGTCAATCTAGTCAAAAAAGTTATTGTTATGCACATTAGGACAAAAATATTACACATTGCATTTTTGATATATTTTTTTATATATTATACTACAAATGGGAATTTTTACAGGAAATGAAGGTTAGGTGCATCGAGCAAAAAGACAAAAGAGGGAATGTAAAGGTAGTGGGGGCAAATATATTGTTAGACAGGAAGTGCGATCTTTAGAGGCCACATTAAACAAGGAAAGAGAGTCTCTCTCCTTGTTTGACATCAAATTTAGTTGGGTTATGTTATTGTTTGTCCCAAATGTCACATGAAATCTTATTTATATTGAAGTTTTTTAACAATTGTGTCGCATTTTAGACTATTATCATTAATAATTAATTAAAACTTTCTCGTCTAAGACACATTCTGAAAAATATTATATAGCTACTGTTAATAAGTGTCGGAAAATTTAAATTTGGCGCATTCGCATTTCCGGATATGTCCGCCATCAGAGGCCACTTTTTTGGTCTCCTTTTCATAAGGATTAGATTCCCTCTTTTGTCTTTTTGCTCGATGGTTAGGTGCCAATTTAACCTTCCTTATAGACATGTGACTTTTTAATGTGACCTTCTTATTGGTCATTTCAATCACTTCGTTGATAAATCCGACCCAGTAAAAAGAGATGCAGTGACTGCTTTGAGTCAGTTTTCTCTGTCGCACTATAATCTATTGTATTGCGGTAATCTGTCTATTTGTGATATACAAGTATGTCTATGAACTAAGATTTAACTGACTTACTAACCAAATTATAACAAAAGATGATAAATATTTGGCAAGTTAGTACATCTCAAAAATGTCCAATTTTTAAGGGAAAAAGTAAAGAAAAGCTCAAATATTAATGTTTTATAACATTAATATTGGAATCCAATGATATATCGTTATTGGCATATCGTTTAGAAACGTCAGCCTGATGAGACCATGGGAGGCCGAAATAACGTCATACCGCGGTATTGTTTAAACACAGAGACTGACAATTGGTATACCTGTATAATGCTTTATACATATATTTAGTATTAATTGAGGTATTGTATATTTTAGGCTGGTCTTCAAATCCGGCTGTTGTCTACATGACAGAAATTGCACATCCAAAACTTAGAATGTCTCTTAATCAATTGGGACCAACATATGTATCATTAGGTAAGTTTCATTCAATTCCTAAAATACTAATTCCTTTTATTTTACAGCTCTAATAGATTTATGATATTTCAGAGGAGTTTAATATTTTATTCCGATTGCTTGCGGTACTGAAATTTTTAAATCTAAAATATCCTATATATTTCTAAATATTGTTTCGAATTCATGCAAGATTTCGATACTCTAGTTCTATGTTAGTAGGTTCCTCTTTCAGCAACTCTCGAAAATGTCCGTCCCATCATAACAGGATATTTTTTTGTTGGTAAGCAAGTTGCCATCCTTATCATTCCATATACGTTGTTTCTCAGTTTGACCTCTTTTCTATAATATTTATTTGGTAATAAAACTTTCTTGTTTCTTCTTGACTCATACGGCTTTCGAGCTGTTCTAATATGTCGTGCTCTGATTCTCTTCTTTTTCGAGTTATCGTTTTTCCTCTACCCTTAAGTTTTTGTACCTGTTAATTGTTCTTCGTTGTTGTATGGTCCTCAGTGACCCGCATTTTTCATCTGTTATTTTTTTACACTCTTGGTCGAACCAGTCGTTTCTCTCTTGGCTTAGTGATATTCCCAATGTGTTTCTAGCGTCTAATTTCGAAGCCTCCTTGCAGCTGACTGGTCGACTGTCCAAGTATGTTTTTGTGCTAGTGCCTCCTTCTTTTTTGCCATTGGAAATTCTTTGTCGAAACTTGGTTCCTACCATGAAGTGGTATGATTCAATATTTGCCTCTGAACATGTCACATTTGCCTATGTAACATCTAAACTCAATTAGGTTTGTAATGTACTTTATGTCAATTACAACATGGTCAATTTGGTTTAACATGTGTTTCCATCTGTTAATATCCACGTTTCCGCAACCGTGTCTTTGACAGCTACTATACTAATAAGTCCCAACCCATTGTCATTAGTAACATCGTGAAGGCTCTGTTTATCAATCTTGATAGCATATCTCTTTTACCATCTGGATGTCACATCCCCAATGATTATTTTAATTTCATTTTTGGCAAATTAAAATAATCATTGGGGATGTGACATCCAGATGGTAAAAGAGATATGCTATCAAGATTGGTAAACAGAGCCTTCAGTCTACGTCCTCACATCAATCAATGGTCGGGTTCTTAAACCCGTACCATGACAAAAATTTTTTCAATTTTTTAACGTGTTTGTGAAGTCCAGTGTCGGCTTTTTATATGTTTTTTTATATGTTTTAAGAATTTCAACACCTACAAAATCATAATTTTGAAATTTAAGGAAATGAGATCTCTCCTTTGTAGTGGTATTTAAAAAATTGACCATAGCTCTGATGATGGCTTTGTAAAGCCGAAAGCGCTCAGCTAGGAATTGCCTAAAATATACACACTTCAAAAATACTTTTTTGCATTTTCTTTCGACTTGTCATAAGTGTGTACAAAAAAATATCAGTCTTTTGATTTTTAGCTTTTTGTACTTGATCTGTCACTTTTTTGTCCAGGTCTCCACAGCTGGACAGTATAATTCCCAGGTATCTAATGGTACTGTAAAAATTGTCGATAGTGGAGCGATGTTAATCCCAATTTCAATATTCAAACGGAAGATTAATATTACTTTAAAACAAAATGCATGGTATAGTATATTACATAGTTAATTTTTGAGCCCCATCTTTAATTTTTCATATCCCAGAGCTCCATTGACCACACATTAAAGATATTAACACTTTATGATAATCTGATTGAAATAATTCACAATATGTTTTGTACTTCATGTGGACTCAAACGTCTTAAAGGCTGTGGAGTATCTAACACAGGTTTTTTGAATATTCAGGTTAAATTTCATTAGTAATAATAGAAGCTTGGAAATAAACGTCTTTCGTAATTTAGTTCAATGTCACATACGTGAATTATAATAAAACAATATGAAAAACAGTAAGTGAATTTACAATAGAAAAGACCTGTACTAGGCGTTCTATAATCAGCAGAAATTATGTATTTAAAACAATCATATATAAACCAAAAATCCCAAATGTTCATTAGCTCCTTTTAATCAAGACTCTGATTTTTATTATTATCAATTCATTTTTTACAAGATTTTTATGCTCAAAAACCGTAATACTGGAGATATTTTTACCAGATAAAAGAGATAACAATTAAAAACTAATCTAGAAATTCATTTTAGGATTAATTTTTGGATACATATCCGGATCATATATAAGCTGGAGAGTTATTTCGTGGATATGGTCCGTTGCGGTGATATTTCCTATAATAGGAGTATGTTTCTTACACGAAAGTCCTCCATGGTTGGTTCTAAAGGGAAAGTATGATCAAGCTAAAAAATCTCTAAATTATTTACATAAAAATCAACCACAACCCCCTGGAATGGTAGGTAATTTTTAAAATTGGACTATGAAGGGCTTTACCAAAAATTTGTCAAATCTTAAGTATATTTTGATAAATTGTTTGTGCTTCGACGTCAAACTTCAAATGCTGTGCTGTTCCATGTTTGTTTACTTTTTACAGTAGATGAGGAAAAGTTGTTTTTCGATATTTTGGCTGTATTTTGAATGATATTTTGAAAGTGTAATAAACATATTATAATAATGGTGCTACAGTGTTGCATTTTCAAAAAACGAAATATTTACATTCCGATCTCTCATTTCATTGGGTTTTTCCATGTTCATTAATGTATTAAATAAGATATGAGTTCATAAAATTAGTAGACATTTTTAAATTGTAAGTAGACATCATCTGATTAAAAAATATCTGTTTGGTACCTTTTTAATTTAATATTTCTCATGGATACAAATAAATTAGTGAAATGAATAAAACTTATTTATTTTTCTATGTGGGTTTCCAAATAATATTGACGATCAAACTATTTGGGTAGCAAATTTAGAAGAAAACATAAAGATTTTTTATTGTAGAATTATGATCATTGGTAGCTTCATTTAGCATCAATAGTTGCAGCAGCATCAATAATGGACAGAAATTCTTTTATGTTCAGTATTACGAGTATTTCTGTATGGTATTAGTACTGCGCATTTTTACAAATGTAAAGTTATTTATATATTTAGATTTGAATACAATTTTACACTATAATTTTATTACTATATTTAACGGCTGTCCGCAAAAACACCAGTTTACGGTCTGGATGAGGACTGTGGTCCGCCATTTGGTGACCCCTGCTCTAGATGTTCCGACTTGTACCACTAGTTGTCTAACTAATCCAACCAGCCCACTCACGGTCCGATTTCAGATCCAACTGCGGAAGTTGGACGACTAGTCAGACTAAAAATTGGAACGTGAATGGCCTGTTTTATTGGCATTTGTTTGGGATATTTGCGGTCTTAAATAAACCTTTTCTAAGACTACATTTATAAACTGAGGAGCTTTTTCAATTAAAAATATTTTATATTGTTAGAAGTTTTGATTTACGATATTTTGTTGTAGAAAGAATCTTTTGCAGAACTCCAATTTGAACTTCTCAAAGGGCAACGAGAGGAAATTGAAAAAAAGAGCAACAATAATGGTGGCTTAAGAAGTATTTTGAAGGAATTTTTAAAACCGACCGGGTACAAACCGCTCCTAATAATGTGCCCTTTGTTTTTTTGTCAACAGTTTTCGGGAATCTACATAACTATGTATTATTCAATACAATTTATTAAGGTATTTTTTTATTATTTAATTAATCGTTGTATTCTTCTAATGAATAACACAATAATACAATTTATCCCTATTGGCTATTTTAAAGAGTCGGTTTTTATGAAGACTATGTTTATGATTTCAAAAACTGTAATTTTAAATCTGTTAACCTTTATCTGTCTTCAGTTAATTGGGATGCATTATACCATTGTAATAATATAAATGAGGCTTGTCAAATATTTTACAGCTATATGTATCACATATAGTGTTTAGATATTGTTGTTCCTATTAAGGCTGTCAAGTGTTCCTACAAGTTCTCAATTTGGTTCTCAATAAAACTTAGAGATCTTATTATTCAAAAGAAAAAAGCTCATCTGAGGTTTAAATTATCTAAATCAAACGAGGACTACTTATTGTTCTCTAATCTGCGTGATCAATGTAAAGTTGAACATACACTTTGTCAGAAACAACATTTTTCGTCTCTTGAAAAAAATTTTAGTAATAACAACATTGAATTTTGGGGATACATTGGCAGACTTCGTAAATCTTCGAGTTAGCACCAAGAAATGTATCTCGGTGACAGAAGGACACAAGGCAATATCGAAATTGCTAACCTTTTTGCTGAGTTCTTCTCTAGTGTATATGAGAAAGATAAAGGTGCTCCCATTCCAGATTTTGAAAACTGTGTCAGACACATTGACCCTGTAAACCTAATTCAAGTTGACACTATATCAGTGTTTGATGAATTAAGAAAACTTCCAAACAAATTCTCCTCGGGCCTGATGGAATCCCACCGGTATTATTAAAGCACTGTCCATGCTCTCTTACTATGCCCCTAAAATATCTTTATAATTTATCTCTTATGACTGGTGAGTTCCCTTCTTTCTGGAAGAACAGTTATATTGTACCCATTTTTAAGTCAGGTAAAAGGGAAGATATTGAAAAATACCGAAGAATTTGTATACAGTCAGCAATCCCAAAACTTCTCGACAAGCTAGTGACTTCTCACTTATCAAAACTAACAAATAATATAATAATACCCAACAGCATGGCTTTCAAAGGGGGAGGAGCACAGTGTCAAACTTGTTGGTCTACCAAGATGATATATTGGGTGCCTTCGAGAGGAAGTACCAGGTGGACAGCATCTATACTGACTTCTCAAAGGCATTCGATAAAGTAAATCATCGTTATTTAATCAGTAAATTAGGAGCCATTGGTATAGCTGGCAAATGGCTTGATTGGTATGATAGTTTTCTTGTGGGTAACACCCAGAATATTAGATAAATGGTGTGTTGTCTCAATCTGTTGACGTCCTCTCTGGAGTACCACAGGGGTCACATTGTGGTCCTCTACTTTTTGTCCTCTTTGTTAACGATGTTGAGAAAGTCATTAAGTATTCAAAATTTCTCAACTTTGCTGATGATAAAAAAATTATAAAGTCATTACTTGTCAGTATGATCAAATTCAGCTACAAGAGGATCTCAGCAGATTTAGCGATTGGTGCAAACTAAATGAATTAAAATTGAACATTGATAAGTGTTGTGTTATTACTTTTCACAGGAAGCAAACAATTTAAATTACGATATAGCATTGATAACACTAGCTGTCTAGCAGGACTGTGTAAGGATTTAGGTGTTTATTTTGATTGTAAATTAGCATTTCGTAAGCATCTAGAGGTCACAGTAAACAGTGCATTTAAACAATTAGGGTTTATAACTAGAAACACTTCTCAATTTTCATGTTTTGTTTTACCAATTCTTTTTAATAGTCTCATTCGCTCCAGACTAGAATATGCAATAGTTGTATGGGGACCTTACTATCAATCAACTATAGACAAGCTTGATCGTGTTCAGCATAAATTTCCGTAGTGCTTTTCATGACCTCTCTGTCCCATACAGTTATAGTATGATAGCTGATCACTTGAAAATGGTTTCTATGAATCGGCGAAAAGATTATTTTTGCCTAATATTCCTTTACAAAATTGCTAATAATTTGATAAATTGCCCTGAACTTTTAAATCGATTAGGTCTTAACACTCTTCATGGAACTAGGCATACTTTGTTCTTTCATCTACCATTTCATCAATTTAATTATGAATACTTCAAGCCTCTTACTCATATGGTGAGACTATATAATAGGTACCAAAGTGATCTGGACTTATTTTTCCAGTCCTTAGAACAATTTAAAAATGTGATAAAGAGACTGCTATTTGTGTGATATTAGTTTGTATTCAAGTTAATTATTAGTTTTTGTTAAACTTTACTAATTATTTTCCAATGTTATGCTTACTTTGTAAAATTTTATATATTATATTTTGTTCCAATGTAAATGGTATATCCGTTAATAAAATAAATAAAAAAATAAAAATACAAATTTTCATTCCTTGAAACAACAAGTTTTCAGTCTTTTATTGTTAGATGACACATACAAACGTTATGCATGTTATTTCTCTCTTATCTCTTGCGTTTTTTAATGACGTCTAAAAGTATATTTCTCGTATTTTTATGTAATTAATTTTTAGGAAGCAGGAACAGAGTTAAATCCATACTATGCATCGGCTTTAATTGGAGCAATTCGTTTGGTAATGGCGATATGTAATATTTTTATATTAAAACATGTGACTAGGAGAACAGCAATTATATCAAGTGCTATTGGAATGGCCATTTTTATGTACATTGCTGGCCAATACACGTTATGGATAAAACATGGTAAATATGGATTTTTTACAATATTTTGAATTATTAAATTATAATAGTTACAAAAATAACACAGGTGATTTGAATGTGGTTTATTTTATATCATTTTATTTTGAGCATATTTTTCGATTCTTGTTCTAATCGTCTCCATATAAATATATGTTACACTTTTAGTACTTTTTTTAGTAACTTTTTAGTTAGATGTTTCCACTTGTGTTTCAAATGCATGCGTTGTAACCAGTCAATAGTTATTGTAATTTGGTCTTTACTTCCAGTCTAGAGAAATTTATTACAACAGACAGAGTGCCCAAATGTGGGCACAAACAAATGTAAAGAAGTGCAATTTATTTCAGTTTGTTGAATTGTATATTCCTTGCTGTATAAGATCCTGTTAGAGGAAATAAATGCAAGATTGTTAGATTTCATAACCTACTTCCTTATCTTCATGCCCATATTTTAAACAAACTGCTTTGGTATTACTGTACACGTATTCTAATGTTTATATAAATTTCTTTGCAATCTTTGAACACTAACACCACTCTGATGCGCGATAGGGGCACAACTATCAGCCAAATACTCTTCATGTGGGAGTCCTGGGTAATAGAACTCCAACATGGTTCCTTAATCGATTTTAAATTCAAGACAGCGTGACGTTCTCCTCCGTCAATCCTCCCGATCCAAGGCATGTTCCTCCGCCAAACCTCTCGATTCCATCGCTCTTCTAATTCCTTCATTCCATAAGCATCGAGGTCTACCTCTTTTTCTTCTTCCAGGGGGCTTCCATCTGTGAAGTTTTTGGGGCCAACGTTCGTCAGGAATTCTCAATAGGTGTTCAAACCATTTTAAACCTCTTCTTTCTATTCTGTCAATGACCGTTTCTGTAGCATTCATGTTATTTCTTATAGATTCGTTGGTCTTCCTTTCCAGCCTTGATGTTATAGCACTTCTTCTCAAATAATCCATTTCAACTGCCAACAATCTTCTCTTCAGGTCTGCATTAATTATTGTCCATACTTCAGAGCCTTAACAAAGAACTGATTCAATCTTAGACAAGGAAAGAGAGAAGACTGGTAACGCTCGTTCAACCAACCTTCAAAAAGTGAAGCCACTATTTGATGTGTCCGCCATGTTTTTGGTGGCAAACAATAAATGTGACACCAGTTTTGTTTTTGTGGTTTAAAAAAAAAAAGTGAATTGAACACCGATTTTTTTTACTTAACAAAATGGTAAATTATGCCTATATTCTTTGTAAAAATCGCAGCGAGCAGAAAACATTAGGAATATCATTTCACAGGTAAATATTTATAATAGTGCAATTAGGTATTAATTGATTTTACTTTTTATTTCAATTTTAAACCTCAAAACCAATTTAATTTAGTATTTTAAGAAAGATCAACAATCGACCAAATATTTACTATCAGACAAATGCTAGAAAAGTATTGGGAATATAATAAAGAAGTACACCAGATCTTCATAGATTTCAAACAGCATATGATTCCATAGATCGCTTAAAACTGTGGAGTGCAATGATGGAGTTAGGCGTACCAAAGAAGCTGACCATGATTGCGTGAATGTGTGTCAACAATGCCTTTGCACAAATTAGAATAGGAGGCAAAACTTCAAAGGCTTTCGGCATAAGCACCGGGCTCAGACAGGGAGACCCGCTGTCCCCATTACTATTTAACCTAGCATTGGAATACGCAATGCGAAAAATCTATACCAGAGTTAAACCAGACATAACTGCTAGAGGAGCAAAGATTATTCTCGCTTTTGCAGATGATGTAGATGCAGTAGCACAGACAACACTGGAAGTTAAGGATATAGTATAAAAGCCAATAGATTAAGATGGGCAGGCCACGTGGTACGGAGTGATGACGACAGACTGATTAGCAATGTGTTTTGGGAACGACCAGATGGTAGAAGATCGACAGGAAGGCCTAGAAAAAGGTGGAAAGACGCAGTCAGGGAAGACCTGGAGAAGATGGAAGTAAGGCAATGGGAAATAATAGCACAGGATCGGAATCAATGGAAGGCAATAGTAAACGCGGCAAAAACTCACGAAGAGTTGTAAAAGCCAATGATGATGATGATGATGATTTTAAGGAAAGGTGAAATCTAAATTAGTAAATCAGAATACTAAATATGAATAGTTATTTCAGTAATTGTATTAAGTATAATTAATAATTTCACTCACACACCATGAAGATTTGGCTGTGACAGTGTGCGTTGAGGGTTAAAATTCCATAAAATATTCCATAAATAAGTAAATAAATAAATAAATTTCGTTAATTTTGATTCCAAAATATTTGTATAAAATAAAATATATTAAATAAAACTTAAAAATACAAAGATACACCGCTGACCACTTCTTCTGGTCGCAGTTTGGCTTCACTTTTAGCGATACGGTTACGCTTCCTCTCTCTTTACTTGTCTAAGGATTCAACCATGGTTTGCCCTATTCTTTTTTTGTTCCTTCCGGAAATGTTGCGATTCCACCATAAAAAGTTCAGACATCCTACAATTTTACGTCCCTGATGAATTCGGTGTTTAATTTCAGTTTTTCCCAATTCGTTCTTATCAATGAGTGCACCTAAATATTTAAATTTTTCCACTTGTTTGATTTCCACGTCCTCGATTATCAACACTTCAAACCTTGCATCTGAATTAACAACTAAATAAATAAAAAAACTGACATAAATTGTGGCAAGTTTCAGAGCCAATAAAAGTAACTAAAGGAATAAGACAAGGATGCAGTATGTCACCCTTACTGTTTAATTTATATATTAAGGCAGCCCTCCAAATTTGGAAAATCCACTGCCAGGGAATAGGAATCCCCATAAGAAATGATATACTATTTTTCCTGAACTTTGGGGACGATCAAGTCGTCCTAGCTCAAGATTCTTATGATCTAGAACAGTGGTCGCCAACCTGTTGATCGCGAGCTTCCGAAATTTCCACAAAAAAATTTAATTGTTATAATTGTCAACGTTGCGGTGAGCGATCTGCCCCTGACACCGTCAAGCTAGAATCGGCTATTTATAGAACCGACCAGCCGGACCAGCGCGTTAGTGTTCGAGAACGATCTGAATTGCTTTGAACGGGATAAATACGCACGGCGCGGCGACATTGCGCTTAGTTTAAAACGGAACGCGTAACCAACGTCCAGCAGTTGGGTTAGTAGAGAACAACAAAAATAATATTATGACAAGCAGTTGTAAGAATGAAAGACATACCACTTTCATTCGGAATGATAAGGACAATACTTTTTTACAGAAGTTAAAGATAAAAATGTGTGTTTGTTATGTAATACTTCGGTCTCCGTTGCTAAAAAAGGAAATATTGAGAGACATCATAAAACTGTACATTCTAATTTTGAAAAATCATTTCCACTACATTCTGCCCCCAGAAAGGAGAAACTGAAACAGTTAAAAAAACAGTTAATTGGACAACAATCAATATTTTTAAGAACAGCCGACAAAAATAAGGCTGCAACTGAAGCATCGTACCGTGTGTCCCAGATAATTGCACAAAAAAAGAAACCTTATGAAGACGGGGAAATGATAAAACAGGCGTTTTTAGAAGCTGCTAATTCGTTATTTGCCAACTTTAGAAATAAAGACGAGATAGTTTCAGCTATAAAATCTATGCAACTTTCTGCTAATACAGTGATGACACGTGTAGAAGTAATGAGCAATGATATTTTTTTACAATTAAGAACTGACTTAGATAACTGTGTTTATTTTTCACTTCGACTGGATGAATCAACAAATGTCGTTGACAGTGCCCAGATGGCCGTGTTCGTCAGCATAGTTTTCTATAGAAGATTTCTAATTTAAAAAATATTATTTCTTCCGAGAAAATTCCGATATCGAAAATGGTAGGCTTGACAAATGATGGCGCTCTAGCTATGGTGGGTTGTGATAAGGGTCTGGTGGCGTTATATCGTAAAGATGAAACTTTTCCGCAATTTCTCTGTTACCACTGCATTATCCATCAGCAAGAATTATGTGGAAATTTCCTGAAACTAAACAACGTTATGCAACTGGTGGTAAAAATTGTGAACAAGATTAGAGCTCAAGCGTTACAAAGAAGATTATTCAGAACCTTGGCCGATAAAGTTAACTGTCAATACGGGGACCTACTCCTTCACTCTGAAGTCCGATGGTTAAGTAGAGGACGGGTAATGAAACCTTTTAATGATGTCCTATCTGGCATAGTTTAATTTTTCAAACAACGCAATGAACCGACTCCGGAACTAGAAAATTCAATCTGGCTTAGAGATTTTGGTTTTCTCGTGGACATTACAAAGAAATTAAACGAACTTAATTTGCAGCTTCAGAGAAGAGACAAAGAACTAGCGGAAATGATTTCTGATATAAAAGCATTTATCAAAAAGCTGGAGTTTTGGAAACAAAACCTAATTCAAATTATACTGCAAATATTAAAAGAAATTATCGATGAGTCTTTGTGTCAGTCTTCTCATTGAACGTGCTTTTTTATTTTTCAATTTTTATGTTTATGATAGTGCGTTACTTTTTTGTTGTTATTATTAACTATTTTTAAATCATACGTGACATACCGTTGTGGCTGGATAAAAGTTTGTATTTATTTTTCAAATACCTTCGTTTGATAGGTAGGAATGTAGCTATGAACAAGTACGTACTAGTAATATTAGTTATTTTGTTATTAGTTTATTATTAGTACCTATGTATTACCAGTTAAACAGTAAAATAAATACATATAATGATAGATTAACTGTGGATTATTTAATTTACGTTGCGTTACGTGGCTTCCATGTGGGTAGCTCGCTGTTTATTCCAAAATTAACAAAGTAGCTCAACACATTGAAGAGGTTGGCGACCACTGATCTAGAATTTATAATAAAGTCTATACAGAAAATATGTAAAATGGGGATTATAAGTCAGCATGAAGAGAACAGAATATTTAGTTAACAATTTAGTTTTTTAAATCTAAACTTCTTTAATTCAAAACAGAAAATCTAGGAATAGAGTCTTCCTACTAAACGCGTGACAAAAGTAACTATAAAGTCAACATTTCTCTGATAAGACAATAATGATGTTAACATCGCGGTAGCAATACAAATTGAAATATAGAGCCTGACAAAGCATTTTGCTCCAAAGGGATATATAGAAATTATTTGATATTATTCTTTTTTTTTATATTTTTTTTTCAGGTGTTTCGACAGCAACTTGGGTACCAGTAACAGCCTTATTAATGTACGTTGTATGCTCTGTGATTGGAATGATGTTTTTACCGTTTATGATAATTTCTGAAATATTTCCTTTAGTAATAAGAGGAGTAGGATATACAGTAGGTTGGTATAGTTTGTGAATTAGTAGAATTAATCGTAATAATAGTAATCGTTTGTAGTTGCTTTTACTGCTTGCTTTATACTTTACATCGGTCACCTTCTTTTTCAGCGTTATCGTGCGTGTTTAAGCTGTTTTTCAATTTCGCTTCACGAATCATTCTCGATTTTAGGGAGCATGTAATGTTGTGACAAGAAAGTCACGAACGATCCGTTCACAAAGAACGAATCCTTTCGAATACCCGTGTCTGATACAATCACGTTCTGTGACCCTATCGTTCGAATGACCCTATGACGGGGAAGTCCCTACACTGCAAAACTGTACAATTATATACATTCGAATTGTCGAGTCAATGACCCCGTATTCTGTTCTGTTTAGGTTAACGATTGAAATTGTTTAGTCAAGTTAAAGTTTTAAATAAAATGAAAAAAATAAAATTAGAAAAAAGTTATTATGTGAAATTTTTTTAATCAAAGAGTGACGTTACCAAGGAAATGAGATGGGAACAACATATTACAACGTCAAAACTAATTTCGGCGAAACATTATTGTTTTGATTTTCTCCAACGTTTTGTAAATGCTCCAACAGAAGTAAAAGACTTTGGGAAGCAGTTGTTGAATAAGTTAAACCAATGTTTTCACCTATAGAGGAAAATAAAATGTATGCAAAAGCCACTGCATTAGATCCTCGTTTTAAAATGCATGGCTTCAATAATGAATAAGCTTTTGAACATGCAAAGCAATCTTTATTGATACAAGTGACTGTTTTAATAATTTTAACTAAAACCAAAATTCAATAAATCCTACATCACAAACCGAAGATCATGGTGTGGAAGAGATACAAAATTCTATGTGGGCCGCTTTTAACAAAAAAGTATGTAATCGTAAGCAAACAAATAGTCCAAAAGCGTCAGCAATAACTGAAGTTGATAAGTACCTTGGTGAACCTCTACATGCTAGAAAGGACAACTCGTTGCAATTATGGGATCAAACGAGTAATATATTTATCCCCATCTATCTGAGTTGGTCAAGAAAAAACTCTGCATTGTTGCTACGTCGGTTCCATTAAAACAATTTTTTTTCAAAAGTTGGATGTACTTTGACATTTTATTTGTAAGCGGAAATTTATAGTTTCAATTATTTTTGTTCGAAGCGATGAATTTTTTGTTTATAAATTTGTAAGAAATAAAATCCATTTTAATTGTTGCATTATTATTCATTCATAGACACAAAAATATCGAATTTGTAAGTTTACTTAACTGTTTCAAGTATTTTTTATGTTTTAATTATTTATGAAGATGATTTGAGAAATACAAATCTAAATGTCAACCTTAAACTATATTTCATTCTTAATATTATAGTTTTAACTATATCGAATCCTGCACATAAACAACAATATAATTAAATTCGTTCTAATGAACGAATTTAATTATCCGAACCTTTTATCGGAACGACCACATCGAGCGTCATAGACGGGAGATGGTTCTTGATAACTGGTCCTCATAAGACAACTAACTCTCACTTATGGCTCCACGTGCCACACCCCGGGCAACTGCATTGGTCTGCAGGCTAAACTAAGTGAGGGTAGCCAGATATGGCGAAAATTCTACCGAACGTTTGCCGGTATAAGCAATCCCCCACTTACTGACCAACGGCTTCGGGCGGATGAGTTGGTAAGTGGTAGGGCACCCTTTTGTCCTGAGGTTGGGAAACTGACCCTAAAGGCGGACGAACTGAAAAAATAGGTCAACGGCGTAAGGATGTAAAAGGCAAGGGGAAACCACTACATTAAAGATCCTTAATGGATATCCCTAGTTAATCATTATGGCTAGTACAAGATGGTTACAACAAGTTACTGATCATGATTTTCGGTCGTCAAGATCCGGCAGGGGTAGACAACCAAAAGACTGTAGGGCTCCCCCGGTCGTTAATCTACGAAAACCCTACAAAAAGAATAAAGGTGCAAAGATCGCTACCTGGAATATTAAAACAATTTATGAAGCCGGAAAGATACACAACGTCATACAAGAAATGCAACGCATGTCTGTCAAAATATTGGGACTAAGTGAAACCAGATGGCCAGACTCGGGTGAACAACAGATTTTAAATTCCAAAATATACTATTCGGGAAATAATGATCCAAACCATCGAAATGGAGTAGCAATCATTGTTGATAAGAACTTATGTCAATCAGTCACTTCTTTCAGTCCTATCTCAGATAGAGTAGTTATGGTTTCTTTAACAATGATCCAACGAAAGTTAAATATAATCCAAGTATATGCTCCAACTTCCGACAAGACAGACGATGAAATAGAACAATTCTATAAAGATATACAACAAGCCCTGGATAATACAAAGCATAGAGATATCACGATTGTTATGGGCGATTTTAACTCAAAAGTAGGAAAAGGAGAAGTAGAAGATATTGTAGGGAAATATGGACTTGGTTTAAGAAATGAGAGGGGGGAAAGATTGGTGGAGTTCTGTCAAGAGAACAGTCTGGTAGTTACAAACACTTATTTTAAGTTACCTAATCGTCGACTCTACACCTGGAGATCGCCTGCGGATAATGATAGGAAAGTTATTAGAAACCAGATAGACTATGTTTTAATAAGAAAAAGGTTTCGGAACTCCATTAAATCAGCAAAAACATACCCTGGGGCTGATGCAGCCACAGACCACAATCCCGTTGTTGTATCATTCGATCTCCGATTTAAAAAACTAACTGCACGTTGCAATAAGAATCAAATACAACGTTCATTTTTGAAAAATTCATTTGTAAGAGATCAGCTATCCAAAAAAATTAACGAGGAAATAAAGATAAATATAATCGATCCAGACGAAGATTCGAACAGAAAATGGGAAACATTTAAAAACATAATGCTGAATCCAACGAAGGAGATTCTAAAAGGAAAGAAAAATAATAACACAACAAAGTCATGGATTAATGATGAGATACTGCAATTGATGGAAAAGAGAAGATTGTACAAGAACGTAGACATCGAAAAATATAAAGACATATATGGTGTAATTAGAAAGAAAATAAGAGAAGCCAAAGAAAAATGGTACTCAAACAAGTGTGAGGAAATAGAAGTACTATTGGAAAGGCATGATGACTTTAATCTACATAGGAAGGTAAAAGAACTGGCCGGCATCAGAAAAACAAACCACAGTAGTGTTCTATTAGATGAAAAAGGTAAAATTATCCTTGATAACAACAAGAAAATAGAAAGATGGAAACAATACATACAGGAATTATTTAAAGATGAGAGACAACCAGAAAACATAGAACTATACAACAGTAGAGAAACGGGGCCCAGTATAACAAAAGAAGAAGTCATGCATGCAGTAAAATTGGCAAAAGATAATAAAGCTACAGGTCCTGATGAGATACCAGCGGAAATTATAAAATTAATCGCAGAAGATCAAATAGATATACTAAAAGACTTGTACAACACCATATATGATACAGGCGTCATTCCAAAAGAATGGCTTAAGTCGACGTTCGTGACTCTACCGAAAAAAGCTAACGCTAGAGAATGCTGTGACCATCGAACCATCAGCTTAATGAGCCACACTCTAAAGATATTCCTGAAAATTATACATCAAAGAATTTTCAGAAAACTGGAGCAAGATATTAGTAACACGCAGTTTGGCTTCAGAAACGCAATGGGTACAAGAGAGGCCTTGTTTGCCCTGAATGTATTGGCCCAAAGATGTATGGATGTTAACCAACCTCTTTATGTCTGTTTCCTTGATTACAATAAGGCATTTGACAAAGTCAGACATAATCGCCTCCTACAGCTACTTCAAGATAAAAATCTGGATATGAAAGATATTAGAATAATATCAAACCTTTACTTTAATCAAGTTGCATCTGTAAAGGTTGGCAACGAACTATCAGAAGAAATAGAAATACAACGAGGGGTAAGGCAGGGATGCATATTGTCTCCGCTGCTTTTTAACCTCTATTCAGAAGAGGTAGTTCAGAAGGCACTAAAGGAAACATCAAGTGGAATTAAAGTCAACGGAGAACTTATAAATAACATCAGATACGCCGATGATACTTTAGTAATCGCAGAGTCAGTTGAAGAATTGCAGGTTCTGATAAATAAGATTGTAGACAGTAGCGAAGAGGCTGGACTTACTTTAAATATCAAAAAGACGAAATTCATGACCATCGCAAAGACACAACAACAGGACACGTTATGGATTAGGGACGAACTCGTTCAAAAGGTGAACAGATATACATACTTGGGAACAATCATAACCGAAAACAACGATTACACACAGGAAATCAAATCACGTATAGGAAAAGCCCGATCAACATTCAATACTATGAGAAAAGTACTTTGTAGCAATGATCTGAGTCTGCAACTTAAAGTACGAATGCTTAGATGTTATGTATTTTCTGTGTTATTATATGGAATGGAGGCTTGGACGCTTAAAAAAGATATAAGTAACAGAATAGAAGCGTTTGAGATGTGGGCTTATAGAAGAATTTTAAAAATAAGTTGGATCGATAAGGTTACGAACAACGACGTTTTAAAAAGAATGAACAAGGAAAAGGAGATATTAAATACAATTAAAATAAGAAAATTGCAGTATCTGGGTCATGTCATGAGAGGTGAGAGATATGAGTTGCTGCAGATCATTATACAGGGAAAGATACTGGGCAGAAGAAGCATAGGCCGACGACGTGTATCCTGGCTAAACAATTTGAGGCAGTGGTACAATTGTAACTCTGTTGAGCTGTTTAGAGCAGCAGTGTCAAAGGTGAAGATAGCCGTGATGATAGCCAACCTTCTTAAAGGAGACGGCACTTAAAGAAGAAGAAGAATGAACGAATCTCTATGAACCGGTCCTGTATTATCATTAATTCATATACTTTCAGAAAGATTCATAAATATAACAATATTAAACTCTACAAACTTGACCTTTACACAACAAATTTAATTGAATTTAATTAACGAATAATTTTAATGATTTACCTGGAAGACCCGGGTCACCGAAAACAAACAGTTCTTCTCATCACTAATGTATCGGAATGTTTTACAGATATAAAATGGACGTAAATACGGTTGTGGATTCGTCGGATTGTCGGTCCAAAGTATGTTCTTGGCAACTGAAATAAGCAAAAACCGTCGCTCCTATCTGCTCCTCAAAATCGAGAATTATTTGTAAAGCCATTGAACTTGAAAATCGAGAATAAGGAGTAGGCAGATTGAGATCTCAGTGCCGTTTGACAGTTCTCGTATTTATTTCTGGAGAACAAGATACTGGTACGTCACGAGTAAGGGGAGTAGACAGGCAGATTGAGACTCCAAACTCGAATAGAACCATATCAATCTTGATAATGGCTCCAAAATGGGTGCCGAAATATCGAGTTTTAAATTCTCATTGCGGTTATTCCCGAGAACTTAATAATTTATATATTTATATATAACATATGTATATTATTTTTCAGCTTCTAGTTTAGCTACGGTGTTCATGTTCAGCGCTCTTCAAAGTTACTATTGGTTGAATGATACTTTGGGTGGTGCCGCGCATTTGCAATGGTTCTTCTCAATAGTTTGTGTGATCGGAGCCATCTATACTTATTTGTTTTTACCAGAAACAAAAGGAAAGAAACTTACTGATATCTCAGAATATTTTAACACTGGCTGGATGTATATAGGAAGAGATGACAACAATAAGAAAAATTCAAGAGATATAAGTTAATTGTTTAATGATTGCTGATATTGTGTATATATAAAGTATATAAGTTTAAATTTTATATTTTGTAATGATAGGATATGATCGAATGAGTGTAATATGTTGGCTATTTATTTTATTTCATTTAAATTTTGAAAACGATTTTTTGTATTTTTCTTTAACAATTTTTCCATTCATTTCATCTTTAATATCCTTATAACTTTCCAAAATACCGTTAGGCCTACTTCTATTTAATATTGTAATAGATAAAATAATACATGTAGTATGTAAAGATCATGGTTGCAGAATGAGGAATAAAGAAAATATACGACGCTGCATTAATCGTCGAAACACAAGACGAGCTCCAAAGATTAACACACATCTTCAATACAACAGCCAAGAAATACAATATGATAATATTAGCAAAAATACTGTCCCACCAAGCAAAATCTTAAATTCTGAAATCTGATTTAAAGATAAAATAATAGAAAAACTGATTTAATACCTAACTCTATACTTAATTCTATGTCTAAGAGTTTTGCTAGTACGATTTTACTAAATAAAATTTCTTAAAGTAAAAATAAATAACTAACAAAATAAAGCAAAGTCAGGTTGTTTAAAAATCCCAATTCTGTCCCCCACCCATTCCTAGTTAAAATGTATGATTTTTTTTTTGTAAAACATGATTTAAACAGTATAACTCAACAGTGGTATATAATGGTATACCAAATGAATTATTAAAACATAGCCCACAAGTATTACGGGAATTACTGGCGTATGTCTTCACCTTATTCTATAATGGACACGACTTACCACCGGAGTGGACAAAAGCACATATTAACAACATATACAAAAAAGGAGATAGAAAGAATTGTTCAAACTATAGGGGGCTAAGTGTCATAAATTCACTCTCAAGACTGTATGGAAAAATAATAAAAAATAAAATTGAAAAAGAGATGACAGATGTAGAAGAACAGAATGGCTTTCGTGCAGGCAGATCCTGCATGGACAGTATATTCTCTCTAAAGCAAGTTATCGAGAAAAGATTAGCCCACAACCTTTCAACTCATATAGTCTTTATAGATCTGACAAAGGCATACGATAGTGTACCACTTTCAATGCTTTGGGTAGCAATGGAAAAACAAGGAATAAGCAAAAAAAATATACAAGCAGTACAACAGCTCTACAAAAATATGACGGCAAACATTAAAACTGGAAATAGATTAACTAGAGAAATTCCTATTAGTAAGGGCCTAAAGCAAGGCTGCTGCATAGCACCTACACTCTTCAAAATATATCTAAATGAGGCACTCTCACTGTGGAGAAGAAAGTGCTGCAATATGGGCATCCCAATCGGAGATGATAGATTGTACACGATACATTTCGCTGACGACCAAGCCATTCTAGCTGAAGACGAGAGTGATATAAGCTACATGCTTAGAAAACTGGAAGATGAGTACACCAAATGGGGCCTCACAATTAATATACAAAAAACTGAGTACTTAGTTGTAGGAGAAAAACCAGAAAGCCTACAAATCGAAATGGGAACTATAAAACCAACAGACAATTTTAAGTACTTGGGAGTCCAAATAACATCAAAAGCAGGAAGTAGCGAAGAAATACATTCCAGGATTGGCCAAGCAAGATCAGCCACCAGACAGCTACACGGACTATTATGGAATAAAAAAATAACAAAAGAAAATAAAAGAAGAATTTATAAAACAATAATAGAAAGTATTGGACTGTATGGCGCCGAACTCTGGGAAATAAACCAAAGAAACAAATCAAAAATTAAGGCCATGGAAATGAACTACTGGAGACGATGTTGCCAGCTCACTAGACTTGATAGGGTGAGAAACGAAGATATTCGGAGAGAAATGGAAATCGATCTAGACATAATAGACACAATCGAAGCCAAAAGACTTAACTGGTATGGACACCTTCAGAGAATGCCGGAAAATAGATGGCCAAAAAAAATAGAAGAATGGACTCCGCCAACTAGAAGAAAACGAGGTAGACCAAGACGATCCTGGAGAGACGATGTCGACGATGCAATGACCGCCAGAGATCTAACAACTGAAGATTGCTTCGACAGAAAACGCTGGAAATTAGGATGCGAGAAGCGGCGCCAGCTGTAGAAGACTCGCTTGTTATATTATATATAACTCAACAGATATAGCTGCAAAGTTCAAGGTCACTGCATCGATAAAGGAAGGAGCCAACAGTTAGTAGTATACAAGCACCCGAGGCGTAAACATCCGTATATTTAGCATTGGACATACATTTTAGTGCGTTTGCTACGTTGTCGGATAACTTCGATAACATCGGATTCTGCGTGAACAAGCTCGTGAAATTATATATCAGGTTTTATTATGACTAATAAATTAGCAAATAACATATTTTATCAATTACCTCAAACATAACAAGGGTGGAATATACTGGCCAACTGCTGACATACAGGTTATGACCGTGGCTGTGGATCCACGCTCATTAGAAAGTTTATGTACTTGCTTTTCCCCTTACAGGTTACTACTCTAGTAGCTTTGTGCTGGACTATAGATATTCCTGTTTCATCTACATTAAATATTTTTGATGGGTCAAAGTTTATTTTCTCGAGCTCAGGCATCAGGATAGAGAAACACTTGTCAACATTTTCTTTTGTGAATCCTTTAGCTCTAGCTATTGACAAGTTCTAGCTATTGACAAGTTCTTCTAGCTCTAGCTATTGGTCGTCTGAGGGAAAGCTCTAGATGGCGTTTGAAGAACAGTCTAACACACTTTTTGCCAGTAGCCTTTAATTCATTAGAGAAAAGATGAGGTACTTAGTTTAAAATGGCTAGCTGATATGCCAATCGCTTCAGGTCAGAAATAGTCAGTCCATAATAATGCTGCTCCATATCCAGACAGTATTCGACAAGACTTTCCTCGAGGTCAGCTGTAAAAACTGGCTTCCTTCCAAATTTTGATTTGACACATTCCTCTGGGTGCGGTCAGACTTGACGTAATATTTTAAAGTAGTACTCGGAACACCAAAGGTCTTAGCAGCTATTCTTTTTCTTCTTTTCTTTTCTTCATAATTTTCATCTTTTTCACAGAACTCTAAGTTTAATAACAACATTACTGTTCAAGACTAAGGTGTCTACATGTTAAAACTATTAAAACATATCGAAAAGTGATTATATATCCATAAAAAATAATTTAAGTAGTCAGGGAAAATTTAAATTTATTGAAAGAAAAAAATATATAAAAAGATTCCTAAATCCGTCCAGGGACGAATTTGAGAACCTCAAAGGGGACGGATTTAGGAATTCCGTTATATAAAACATGGCCGCTGTTGGTGACGAAACGACTACAACTACACGTATGTGACAAATGAAATATAATACTCAAAGAGCATTCTATTATTATCAATCGATAAATTAGTTTAAACATACCTTTTTAGGCGTCAATATAAGTAAAGGATTTTTCATCTAACAAGACCGCTTTGCAATTAAATGATGGTAACTTTATTACTAGCGGACCAGATAAGCGGCGATATATTTTACACTACCTCTTTGAATAACATTTTACTGCTCTGTTGTTTCAATCAGCACTGCTCAACAAGTTATCGTTTCTTGGTTTATAATTTTATTGCAATGTTAATTTTTTTAAATTTCTTCTGACGTATCGTATAATGTAGGTTTACCAATAATCAAAGTTATGCATTTACAAAAACATATTATTTGAAAAATAAATAGTAAATACCATGTGTCATAATAATTGTAATCTCAGGAAAAAAGACAGTTAAGATTTTATACACACTTAAAAATTTGTTTACTAATGTATTTCTTAAATCCACATAATCATTGAAAAATGATTCATGCTGTTTAAAATATCTTTCTGTTAACGACAAAGTAGATCAAATTCAAACGTCATCATATTTCTCTTTTGTTTATCGTTAAAAATTAATTGATGGTCGTGGGTTGTATTTTTGTGTTTTAATAATTTAACAAAATACATAATCAGCAAAAACCTTATTTAAAACATGCGAACGGTTTTTGCAATCACAATCAATACAGTGTTTATGTTGGTTTAGCATTGGCTGTTAAATAACTTGTGTTCGATTGTTTTTAGTCCTTAAACCCTCGTCCTTTTTAGGGTGTAGTAGTTGTATATAAGTACCTATTTTTTATAGTAGTGTAGTGAAGTGGTACTTTAAAACAAAATGAGTAATTTGGAAGAAAATAAAATACAGTCGAAACGTAGAGTGTTATCTCCAGAAGAACGGCGTTTAGTTCTAAAAGTCGAAAGTTATTTCAATTTAGAAAAAAATAATATGGGTCCAATGACATCTGTTATGGCAGTTCAGAAACGCACATGCGATGCTTGCGGTATCTCAGATAGAACATTCCGAAGAATTAATAACATGAGTGAGGATGAAATAAATAAAGTAAGCAAGAGAAATCGTCGACATCCAAAAACTTTAGATTTGCACCAGTCAATTAAACTTGCAACTAAAAATATTATATATATAATATGTATAAAGAAAAGAACATGTAACAGTTAGTGCTGTGTTGCAAAAACTAAAAGACAAGGAACTGTGTGATATTAGTTTAACAAGTTTGTGGAGAGTGTTGAAACATTTAGGTTTTCGATATAAAAAGACAAATAATAGACAAGTATTGTGTGAACTCTCTAATGTTTCAAAACGGTGGCATTTTTTAAGAAAATACATGAACAATAAAATGTCTGATAGTCCGAGGCAAGTTGTATTTTTAGACGAAACTTGGATTTTCGCCAAAGGAAATATGTCAAAATCATCTTGGCAAGATGGCACCACGAAATGCTATTCTTCTAGTCGTTCCGGTAATGGTAAACGCTACGTTATACTTCGAACTCACGACATTTAGGTTTAAAGGTAGGCGCTCTTACCACTGAGCCACAGAGGGGGTTATCAGCTTGCAATATGGAAGACATAAATGGATGAGTGACAAAACGCAAACAGGAATGGAACGAACACATTAGTAGAATGGCAGAGGATATGATAGTACGAATGGTACGAGATAAGTCACCAAATTAAGAAGTATTGGTAGACCAAGAAAAATATGGTTCGATAATTTAAACAATTTATGAGGCTAATATTGGAAAAGAAACGGGTTTTAAAGCCTACATACAAGAAGA